TGATGATAGCGCACGCCGTCTCTCAAGCATCAAGCGCACTATTGCATGCAGATTCAATCCAATCCAAGCCAAGCTGAAGTGGCCAATGCGCGTTGCGGCGGGTTTTGTATGCTGTGTCGGTAATCTTGGCATGTTATGGGGTGATACTGAAGCTACACGGCTGCTTCAAGTTGCAAGTGATAGATCAAGCACTAAACGACAGCAACAGGACCGCCGGTAGGCCCTTCGGAGTCTACGAGTTTTGTGTTCGCTACTGGTGACGGCAGCTGAAAGCCACCAAGACGCGTTGGGCCTGCCGTGTGCCTAAAACTGGGATTAATGATAAACTTTATTTCTTCAGAAGGAAACTGTGGACAATTCTGTTCAATAGCCATCACCCCAATACTGACGTCCTACGCTTACCTTTTGAGGGCTCCTGTTGAGCGACGAACGCTACCGCTACGCCCGCACCGCCAACAAGCTTTGCATATGGTATTTTAATTCTCGACTATTTGCTTCCACTTTTTGTGTCTCAAATAAATCTTGCCCTGTGTTGAACCTCTGCTTTTATTGTTGAGGTAAGTTCTAATTAGTACTTCTTGAAGCATGCTGTAAGTTGCTGGTGTGAGAATCCCGATTTGCGGCCACTTCGTTTTCTTTTTCGCTTGGTACGTTTTCACGGAAAGTTTTCCCCGTGGAATTCTCGCACCCCCCACCTTTGCATCAGTTTTGCGGGAAAGAAAAGCGCGAGGATTACCGTATTTACTCGATTCTACCGCGCCCTCGATTGTAACGTGCACCCGATTTCCACCGCGAAAAACAAAACAAAAAATGTAAGACATCAATCGCAACGCGCACCCATTTCTCTCGCTGGCCCGCACGATCACATCACTCGAAAAAACGACTCTTTCGGGAGCGTCTTCCATTTAAATAGGTAAGGGCGAAGCTTGTGCCCATCTGACGTGTAACAGAGCATTGCCGTCACTTTAGTTTTACCGTGGACCGATGTCAGCACGTGAACTTGCTTCACCCCCTTCTTCTCAACGGTTGTGGTGCCAGGCATGTCGAAGTAAAGAGGCGTCTGATCGGCATTCCCGATTTGCCCAAGCAGGTAGCCGTTTTTGCACCGCAAGTTTAGGACGAACCTCTGAAAACTGTGAAGCTTTCCATCGTACTCCTCCGCAAAACTTTTCGCATATGCATGTTCCCCTTCGGAGGAAAAAGCCTTTCCTCTTCATAAAGTTACTTAGCCAGCACCGGCTCGCTTTAAACTGGCTCCGCATTAGACCTTTTTCTAAGACCAATTGCATAGCCCGCACTTGGAGCAGTTCTGTCGTCACGGGCCGCTTGTGCGGCTCGCTACTCAAGCACATACTCGCCGAGCAGTTCTTTATTTGCGGAAACCGACCTTGCTGTGGTTCACTGAAGCCTTTGCGTGAAGCTTTGCTGTCGACAATCTTCTGCTTTTGTTTCCGCCGGTCCCGCACGCACGTTTCGGGAACTCCGAACGACCGCGATGCGGCCCGATTTTCGTCCGTTTCTGCACACGCGATGACTTTTCTTTTAAAAGCGGCATCGTGGTACACTCGAGTTTTGGGAGCCGGCCCTTCCACGCCGTCGATTCTAATGCACTACTAGATGACGAACTCCTCAGCACACGTACGAAGTGCCGCACATAGGAAACACATAGGCAGAAATGGCCGACGCGCCATGCCGACGCACGCGGCACGTAGGGGGCGGCCATCTTGAATTTGCCGATGGCAATAGATTGACCGTAATTTTTTTGTTCGTACTCGATTCTAACACGCATGCGATTTATGAACTCGCTTAACCGGAAAAAAGTTGCACGTTAGATTCGAGTAATTACGGTATGTGAGTAAATACGGTATTTAGAAAGGACAGAGACTCACAAGGAGGCGGGGTGTGCATAGTTAAAGGTTCTTTTAATGCTTCATTGATTGATTGTGAAGTACCAGAAACTCTCTGGTGCAGATTAACTTGTGAAAGTACTGTTTTTCTTATTGGAGTTGTATATCGACCACCCTCAAGCTCCCCTGCGTTCCTGAAAGGCTTGAACAATTTTTTATGTGAGCATGTAAATGGGAGCACTAGGTGGGTAAGGACTGGAGATTTTGATATTCCATATATAAACTGGAAACATTTTTTGTACAGTGGTGAGGATTCAGTAAACACTGAAGAAATGCTAGAAATTATGTTTACCTACAATCTGAAGCAAATAGTGCTTGAGGATACCAGAATCACGCCGACATCAAGTTCGTCACTGGACTTGGTTTTCTATCCACTAAGTTAAATGATTACAAAGTGACGGTGGAAGATGGCATATCCGATCGCAGGATGATCTGTCTTGAGCTGCCTGTTTGAGCAACGCGATATGTGAAGACCTTTACACAAGTAAAGGTTAAAAACTATGCTAGGGCGGATACTTCAATTCTTGACTATTTGGAGGTCCGATTTGAGAACTTCGAGACCACCTCTGGTTTGAAATCAGTAGAAGAACTATGGCAAGAATTTAAATGTGTTATAAGTTATTGCACAGACAATTATGTTCCATCGTGTGTTAAAAAAACAAAACAAAAAGTCCTTGCATCACTTGAGATATAATTCATATAAAGAGGAAAATTAAGAGACTGCCTAAAAAGAGCAAGTCGCCAGCGGCTCTGAAAAATCTAAAAACTGATGCTTTGGCTAAAACTAAAAAAACATTCCTTGAAAAAACTCTCAGTGATTTCCTTAAGTCTTCGCCCGAAAAATTCTGGAGTATTTTAGCAACAGGAAAGAAGTACTCGATGAAATACATGTCGGTAATGATATTATAACGAAAAAACATGGAATAGCAAACTATTTAAACTAATTTTTTGTCTGTATTTAACCTGCCAGAAACTACAGCAACTACGGAAGAGGCCTCAAGCATTTGTTCTACTGTTTCAATGGAAACACTTGAAATAGCTAGGGAGGGGGTATTTCAGCAGCTACTCACATTAGATATGAAAAAATCTAGTGGTCCCGATGATATACCAACTGTATTCCTCAAGCGATACGCAGAATAGATGTCAAATTATCTAGCTATTATCTTTAAGAAATATTATACAACGCACTCACTGCCACGAAATCACCACACTACATTCGTTATTCCTGTATTTAAAGGCGGCTATTGCAAACTGACAACAAATTATCACCTAGTATCACTCACTTCCATTGCTTGCAAAGTGTTTGAACACATAACACATAATTGCAAAACATACTCGCATTTCTGGATCAGAACGCTTTGATGTACCCTTACCAACATGGCTTCAGGACGGGGTTATCAACCGTGACCCAGTTAATAGAAACAATTGATGATTTTGCGAGTGCTAAAGATATAAGACAACAGGTTGATGTGACATGTGTAGATTTCAGAAAAACGTTTGATAATGTATCCCATGTTCGATTAATCTTCAAATTATGTCATGCAGGAATAAATGAACTCGTAATAAAATGTGTTGCAGCTTATTCAACACATCGTACGCAGGTAGTAAAACTGGATGGTCACTTATCACAACCCTTGGCGGTACTTTCGGGAGTGCACCAAGGCTCTGTGTTGGGACCACTATTGTTTCTCCTGTACATCAATGATATCAGTACTGTGGCAGAAGAGGGTGTTCATGTTAAACTTTTCACAGATGAATGCATAACCTATGCCGCAATTACCAAACTAGACGACCAAATCAAAATTCAGAACTATTTGCAAAATTCAGATAACTGGTGTAGGAAATAGAAAATGGCAATAAATTATTCTAAATCTACATATACAGACATCAGCAAAAAGAAAATGATCCATTCCTTTTTGTACAGCATTGGTGAACACTTGTTGGTAAATACGACCCAGTTCAAGTACCTTGGGGTAACATTTACGCAAAAATAACATGGAATGAACATATAGATAACGTTTGCACGAAAGCCTATCAAAAGTTATATCTATTGAGGAAGAAGCTGCAGGATGCATCATGCAATGTAAAACATATTGCATACACCACCTTCATTAGGACAGTACTAGAATATTATTCCGTTGTTTGGAGTCATCATAAAGTTACTCTTAAGAAGAAGCTAGAAAGAATACAGAGACTAGCGGCGCGCTTTATTTGTTTAACATACCTAAGAAAGGAATCAGTCACACTGATGTTACGAAGATGCAACCTAGATCCTCTTGAACTACGTAGAGATAAATATAGGCTGAAAGTATTGTTCCAAATGATGCACGATCAACTGAAGATAGATAAGCTCAAATATTTACATTCTCCAGGCAAAAGAAATCCCTGAACTAACCATGATTTTGTCACAAAACCATACCGAACAAACACTGACACATTTCCATATTCTTTTTTTCCAGATTTCATATAAATGTGGAACAAACTGCCGAACGAAATTGTTGTTTTAAAAGATGTCACTGACTTGAAAAATGCTGTAGAAGCGGATTTACGCAATTTTTTTTTTTCAGTGCCAAGTGATGTTAGCGACATCATGTTCATAACAAATATTTTGAAAAATGACTGTAAATTCTGAATTGCTATTTTGAATGTTCAGTTGTTAATTAAGAGAACACCAGTTTTCATTGTGAGTTGTCAAGGCATTAGGAACTTAATGAACATTGTACATTATTTATGTATGTCCTTATGTATGACCGTCTATAAGGGTTGACAGTATTTCCAAAGAAAATAAAAAAATTAAGAAATTGGATATTCTTTTCAGTTCTATGAAATCCAAATTAACAAGCTTCTGTTGTATAAAACATACTTCTAGATCAATCACGTCAAAGCCAGTGGATTTAAAATGAAAACACTTGAAGGTGTACAGACATCTCATCTATCGCCATTCATTTTTTTGTAAATGAAAGTTCGACAGTTCAATACAAGGATACACAGTGCGTAGCGTCAGAGCACACTAAATCACTTGCTTTGCTATAAAACACTGCATTCAGTGTGATTAGCATGAAGGCCTAAAGCTGCCAATGCGGAGACCCTCACCTGTTCCTCAGCTTCACTGCTGCTCTCCTTTGCTTGACTGGCGTCTCCAGAGCCATCCTCAGCTGTGCTGTGCTTCCGCTGCAACATTGGGTGCAACCACACACTACTGTAAACACTATTAGCCACAAGAGCTGACTGTCTCTCCTGATTATCTGATCTCGTTCAATCAGACAAGTAGTCCTCTTATAGCACTGCATCCACGACTGCACATGCCACTATCACGTTTTATAACTAACAAAAATAATGGCATTTAAATCTAAGAACATATATTTCCAAAAATGTAAGTTCTACATTCATGTGGAGTAAATGATAGGTGGTACTATCAGCCAAGCTCCTTACAGTGAATCATACTAACACATCGAGAAAGAGACATTATATCTACTGTAACCGCAGTGTGTTCTGAATCGGTGGCTAACACAGGCATAAAAAAGCAGCCCATTTTCTTCTCATTTGTTGCCTAGCTTTCTTGGCTACTGGAACAAGAGAAGAATTACTCTATACCTAATAGTGAAGCAGTTTCACACAAAATTCCACACCAGCTCAAGCTCCAAAATATTGGCATTATTTGGCAGATTTTGATAAATTTGACACATTAGTTTCAATTTGCTCAAGAATTTCTTTTAATATCGACATCGTGCCTAGCTCATTGAACTGCACATTCCTCACAAAGATCAAACCAAGGAGAACAATAATTTAAGGCTGAAGAGTGCTCTAAGTGCGTTTTGCAATTGAATGCACAGCCTCAATAATCTTTGCGGCATTTCAGGAAACAGTGAACTGTATGAGTAAAAGCCAGAATTTGAGCTACAGTAGAAATTTGTTATAATGAAGCAGAATATAACAAACTAATGAATATAACAAACCAATTGTAATTCCACTTGAAATTCCCTGTAGACAAATCTGATAAGCGTGCGCTGTTACGTTTGGCCCGGCGATTCGTCTGGGCAGACGCCATTGTGCATAAGCCGCTCTACTGAGGAGGCTCTCAGCCCCTTCGGCAACCAGTCTGCCAGACGCTGTCGAAGATTTCGGCAATTACCCAGACCATGTGGCAAGCAAAGACGAGTTCCTGACTTTCAAATGCGGACCCTTTCGTCGTCCCTTCGTGCAGCAGCGGTGCCTGATAACCTCGGCGACTTATCTGGCGAGGGGAAAGCTGTTGTGACCGGCGCCAGAGCTGACGGGGGAGCGGGGCTTTTTTAATTCTCAATCAAGTAGCCGACCAGCCGGCTGCCTATGCCCGTTAGGCATTGTACCTGCTAGCCGGAGGATGAGACGTCGTGTCACCAGGACAGCCATAAACCGTTCGAGAGGACAACAAAGAGAGCATCTTCCTTGAAAGAGACCGTGGCGGCCGCCGCAAATCGCCCCGCTAATTGAGCGAACAGATCGGCGGACCTTTTGATGTATGCTGTCAGGAGCTTGGAACCTCTCGACTAGCGGCACACACATGAGGAGGAAGAGCCCCGCTGGCGCCACCTTGCAGTGCAGTGATCACGACTCAATATTGGACGTTCACGTGGACCGTGCATGCTCGTCCCCCTCACCTGTTGTGTGCGTGTGATTGGTGTTCCACTCGAAGAGGAGGAGCCCAACAGGGCTTAAAACAACACCGCAGAAAGCTGGACGTCGCTCTGAACTATGTAACGGTTCAACCACCACGCTTGTGGTTTGTGAAACCCCTAACCTTTCTTTGCTGTAAATATGTGTAAATAGTGCCATAAACCTGTTTGTTTTTCGTATCCTTTTCTTGTCAGCGTTCGTTTCCTCCACCTGGTTACACCACGCTACTACAAGAGACCATGCTCAACCGAGGCGACACTTTGTAGAAATGACGACTTTTAAAGCACGCCCAACGCGAGTCTGTCACTCCAACTCGCCAATGAAAATGCACAAAGGTTTCGAAGCTCTCAGGACTGCCAAACGGTTTTTGGTGTATGTAAATGGCTTGTCGTTAGCACACCAGACGACATTTGCTTTGTAGCGTAGTGCCTAGCACCGCGCGCTGAGAATTGAGACGGTGCTGGTTCGATTCTAAGCGACAGATGCGTGCCTTCTGTTTGTTTTTTTTTTGCAATCTCTTAGTATATAATTTTCACACTTCCGTGATGGAATTACGTCAGCGGAGCCATGATGGACCCCTGCATAAAACACTTGGTTAGCGGGACTACAGCGGACATATGTAGGAGGTGCGTTATTATGCAAGAGAAAAGAAAAAATCCAGATTTCGGCGACCAAAGTTAGGGGTGTGTTTATTACGCGAGTAAATACGGAATAACCTTCCAAAAGCGCTAACGTTGCGAATGACCACAACCAAAATCAGCCGCGAGCTACCGTACTACTTGTTCGACAGCTTTCGCACATGAATGTGTGAAGGTTCCACCTTTGTAGACTTGGCTCTAATGTCAACGTAAGTTGTCGCCAAGTATAGTGTACAGGAAAACTATCATAGCAAGCTTTCTCACCTTTACACTGCTACCATGGCCATCAGCCGCCCTGCAGAGAGAGAGAGGGGGAATGTAAGACACTATACACGACACGCCAGTGTTCATAGCAACCCCTTTATTATTTGGTTTTTAGGATCGTCTGAACAAATGTGCACTTTTCGATATTGTCACGCGCTCGGGAAATTGATGCAGGCAGAAGACGGTATGCCCAAATGAAACTCTTTATTTGGCCGAACTTATGGCTGAGAAAATGAAAACTCAGACTACAGCAAGCAATGCGCGCTGTACAGAGCAATGTACCGGCGAACAGAGCAATGACCATCGATAAAAATTGACAAGCAGTCAAACGCGCCAGCTCTTATACATGAATCATTGAAGATTCTGCCATCACCGCTAGCGGCCGCGTAAAATCCGTCATCTGATCAGAAGGTTCTCGCATTATCTGATAGTTTCCAGTCATTCGGGTGTGTTTTGTAGAAAGCAACAGTTACATTGCAATGGGACAGTAACAGTGAAAATATAAAAAAATAGTGCGTGTGGCATAATTTTTCTTTCCTTGTAATTCTGCCCACCAATTCTGCCTTCATGGTGATGGCAGTTATGGGTATCAGTGACGCCCCTTGTCCATCCTAATTCAGGGTGGCCACCACGCAAAAAAGCACCAGTGCACCTTCCTGTGTGATATTTTACCATAGATGCGGCACAAGGGTGCAACAGCCAAAATACGATTTCGAGCTATTTTTGAAGCAGCAAAATGTTACTCTTGGAGCACTAAAATCCAAATTTAGAGTAGGTTACGCAGGAAAAGCATGCATTTTCTATCATGGAACACCAAATTCAAAGCAATACTATAAAAAGGGCTTTCATTTGCAAAAAGTATGTATAAGCCACTCGACACCACCTAAATTTTGCAGTATGGACATGAACACTGCTATTTCAATGAAAGTAGTATTTTAAACCACCCCACCGAGCAAATAATGATAAAGTCCATATAAGCATTTAATGTGCCTGTCAAATTATTTGACAGACTCTGCGAATTTAAATATGTATCTGTCGAGCTCGGAACCGTGGAATTCGGAAGATTTGTAAAACTGAGAAATAGGAGTGGCGGAAAAAAAAAGTGGCAAACAATTAAGTTTTTTTTTTTTTTTATTGAAAGCAGAAATGTCATACACTGCTCTATATACATGCCGATAACTGATTTAGATGTCAGTCAATATACTGGTACTCAGAACTATGGGGCATACAAAATGCATGAGTAACTGAACAAAATATGCAGTGTCTCGGTGACTAAGATAACAGCCCCTTCCAAATCTCAATACGCTTTTCCGCAGGACACAGGTGTAGCCGTTAGGTGCTGCTTCGGTTCGCTTGCAAGACGCGCTAGACCAGGTAAATTAACAATGACGCACGCTCATTGGCGCAGCGATGGTACTGGACATCTATCGTCAAAACCATGGCCAAGACAACGCAACTTGAAAACAAAAGATATGTTTTATGTACCACTGCTAAGGCAATCAACGAGGTCGCTGGCAACGTTGGGGTTCGCAGCATGCCGAGCTTGTTCACGCAAGGAAAAGCGTGCCATACACTTTCAGCTTTAGTTCCTAACAAGCCATAGCTGCGTTTTCAGGCTAGAAAATTCACGATTCACATGATGCGTTGGTGGCTACAGCAACGCATTTTTGTCTTGAAGTTCCGTCGTCCCACTGATAGGGATCCGCTGCGGTCAGCGAACGGATGGGCGCGGAGCATTGTTATTTTATCTGGCTGATCGCGTCACACGAGCCTAGCAGATGCCTAGAATATTTTTACTTCGCGTTTCGCCAGCTACGCTCGCGAAACGCGAAGTATATTCTAGGCACTATAGTTAGGGTCTGTACACTTTTACTGATGGCACAAACTGCAGGTGGCTGACGTGGCTTGCATTTCTCGCCGAAATTAGCGCACCAGAGAAAATTTTTAGGCTGGCTGTGCATTTTGACGCAGTGTGGCACAATTTCAGCCAATTTCACGGCTTTGGCACAGCTCGGCACAACAACTGGGAATTGTGTCAAATTGGCACAATTAGTGCAGCTGTTGCATCCCTGGGCATGCAGCTTACACATCTGCCAATAACCCTTTGAAATTTGAACCACTTTATAGGAGGCAATGATATACAGTTAAACTAGGATATAACAAAATTGGCGAATTCCCAGAAAAATTCCTTAAAAGAAAATTTCGCTACAGTGGACTCCGATGAAATGAAACTCGATTAAACAGAAAAGCCGCATAAACGAAACTATCTAGGCACATTTGGTTGGTCTTCTATATATTTAATAATAAAAAGTTTCGGGTAATCAGAACATTTTGTTTGTTTAGATTTTTTTGTTTAGATGAAACCAAAACGAGCAAAATCCATGAACGGCGGAAGTGGCCACGACAGTCTTGCAACCAAGAAACATATACCAAAGCTAGCCTAGCCAAGCCAATCCAGCGATCGCACACGTCCGCACACGTCGAGCAGCAATCGACGTCTCTTGAGACGGAAACAAAAAATAAGAACGGCAGCACAATGCAACGAGACTTGACCACAACGACCTATCGAAAACAAAAATTGCAAAGAAGTTCAATATTCCCAAGCCCACGCTGTCGAGGATACTCAAGAACACTCAAGAATACTCAAGAAGCTGTAAAGCTTGGGAACTTCGCCACGGACAGAATGTGGATGTGATCGACGGCATACAAAGAAATCAAAGATGTTCTTTTCCTCTGGTTCAAGCATGTGCACAGTTCGAACTTCGCGATCAGTGGCCCCATTTTGGAAGAGAAGGTCAAAGAGATTGCTACTCGAATGGGGATCGAGGGCTTCCGGGTGAGCGATGGCTGGCTGAGCCATTTTAAAAAGCGGCATGGTCTTGTCTATAAGCCAGTTTCTGGAGAAAGTGCGGCTGTAAACAGATATCTGTAGTCACTGGCACCAGGAGAGGTTGCAAGAATTTTGGAAGCCTACGAACAACGGGACGTGTTGATGAAATGGGGTTGTTTTACAAAGCAGTGCCTACTAAGACTCTTGCTTACAAGGGGGAAACCTGTGCCGGAGGAAAGCGAAGCAACGGTCGTAATACGGCGCTAGGGTAGCCAACATGGATGGTAGCGAAAACTTGAAGATGTTAGTTGTGGGGTAATCAAAGCACCCACACTGCTTCAAAGGTGTGCACGTGCTGCCTACCACGTACCAAGCCAACGGGAAAGCTTGGATGACACAAGCAATCGTCGAGACAGGGTTACGCGAAGAGGATAGAAGATTTACCTCGCAGAACAGGAAGGTTATTTTTATTGTTAATGAATGCCCTGCTCACGGTCAAGTCAATAGACTCAAATTGACCAGCCTAGATTTCAAGGGTGAACTTTGAATTCAAGGGCGCAGCCGTGATCGCTGGCGCGCATGCTGCTGCCTCGGCAAGCATCAATGCGCTTTCGATGCAAAGACTGTACGAAAACAGCACTTCTTTTTGGAGCGGCAGTATTTGTTTTCACTGGCGTTTTGTAGGGGTTCAGTGCTGTCGGATCCAATAGAGTTGGCTGCCAGCCTTACGTTTTATAGCATTAAAATTTGTTGCTATCATACTCATTGCATTGAATTCAACGCGCCGTCGTATTGCTGCCACTGCTAATCGCAGAGGCTACGGTCCATCGAACTCATAGAACAAACTAAAACGCGTGACCTCCAAAGATTTGTCGTTGCCACCGCCGTCTAGTAGAGTTTCCATCAGCGCTTAATCTGACATCCCCTATGTAGTGATAACATGGGTGTTTGTGTTCAAAAAGAAGAGAAACAAAACATACCTGAATAACGCATGGAGCCACACCATGCGCGCGCAGTGAAACCATGCATGCGTGCACGGAATCAAAAACGACACGGATAGCGTGGAAAACCGTTTGGTAAAGCGCCCCCCCATATCCAGCGCGGCCCCACTTATGTGACGCTGATTAAAAGCGTGGCACTGCCAGTGCAAAAGTAGTTTTCTTTCCTTTTGTTTGGGGGGGGTAGGGAAAACACGGCGAGAACAGCGGCAACGCCGGTTCGTGGGGCACAGGCCCGCCTGCCTGACGCCTCGAGCACACCCAAAAGCTACCAGGGCAATGAACTCCCGCCACCGCTTTGCGCTTCGACGACGGCAGGGCAACCGCGGAAGATGCTAAATAACGAAATCCGGAGCGAAATTCCTGCATTGTCCACGGTGAAAATTCGTAATAACAATGTTGTCTCCCGTTGTTACTTTGTTACATACAGGTCGCAAATACATGTGCTTCTATGGAGTAACGACAATGAATAGAAAAACTACATTATATCAAGGAATCTGTTATATGGAGGTTCGCTATAAGCAGGTTTAACTGTAATAAAAAATTGGGCATAAGAGACACTGTGTGGCTGTTTAAAAATAAAAATTGATCGGAAAATGATAACATGGTACCCTGCTTACAAGAGACTCCTCATGTAAGGGACAAGAACTACTCCCTGGAAAATGATTGTTTGTATTCCAGGGTTTGACTATATATGCAAAAGAGTTCCAAATGCCTAATGACATATATTTGTCACATTTAAAAAAATTCTGTTCGACACTGTTTTTCAGGTTTGCGGTTCACCACCTGCATAATGTAGGAGATCTGAAAAGCTAGCTCGTGACTTTTCATCATATTATATTTTTTGTTATTTACCCCTCTCCCCTATACATTTTGTCAGTAACACGGACCTTCAGACTAGATATTTCAATGTTTGGAAACTGAAAGGGGGCAAATACCCCAGCCTCATGTATCAATTCTCAGACATGCCCAGCTGCTTGTTGAACATGTTTTGTACTTGTGTTCTATGAAAGAGTGTTGTGGTCATGTGGCACCGCTTGGAGCGCAAATATTTGCGGCTCCAGCGACTTGAGTTGTAAGCGGTCTACAGTGAACGCAGTACCCCTAGACAAACTCAACAAAGATTCAAATGCTTGTTTCGTTTTCCTCGACTTAAATGTAGTAAAAATTCAAGTGACGAAGTGCCTGACACCCACTCTTCTTTTATGACAAAGTAATGCAGCTGGTGCTACTGCAGGAAAAAAAATGAAAAATAAGAAGAAACTGTTCCCGAGAAGCAAAAGTTGTAATGCGCCACATTTATTATGAAAGCACATGACATAAAGAAGCCCTTTTGCAGAGTAATTGATAAAATATCTAGGCCTCAAAGACATCTATGCAGACTTTCCTAGAGGGCTTTAATTACCTCTAGTAACTTTTTAAACATTTGAAGTGAAAGCAAACATTGAGTTCAGAATGCCATCACAATTAGCAATGCTGAATGTGGCAGCACTACAAGCTGTGAACGTACCACCTATTTCCAAGAAACAATTCTTTCTGCAGTCTCTGGGTCTTTCTGCAATCCTCTTCAGTGTTGCTTGTGATCATCAACACTCCTGTCTGCTCGTGTCATCCCCAAAAGCTACCTGTTCGTCTACTCACAGGTATGCACGTGCTCACCGCTATTCCTCCTCGCGCTTGTCCTTTCGTTTTTTTTTTTTTTGTGCCATAAGCTCAGTAAGAATGAACCAACTCGCCCAACAAGTCACTCTTCCTCCTCGCACGATAAGGAGGCACACTCGGGCCAGCAGGAGAGGTAAGCTGCCGAACAGAGCATAACGAAGGAAAGAGCAAAACGAGCAAGGACCTCTTTTGGTTCATGAAACGCGAGTGCTGCCTTTGCTATCACAGCACAGGACTAAGTTTGACCTCGGTGTGGTGTACAGCCTCTTCAAGCGACTCCATGTACAGAAAGGGTCTTACAGTCAGCAAAAAAAAAAAGGGTCACACAAGAGGATGAGCAGCCAGAACCTAACTTTCCCATTTTTTGAAGCAAATTCTGCTTGTCTCTTTATACATATATATATATTTTTGAATTCCATTCTGAACATAGGGATATGTCACAGTTTTATCACCGAAAAGCTGGTGACAATAAATGCAAGTGCGTTTAAACTTTTGAAGCTGCGAAATCAAGTGCACGTTAAATTAGCGTAAATACAGTACTTCAGAGCATGGGTTTCAGTAAGTTGAGTCAAAAAAGTGCTTGTACTTGTCATTCCCCCAGCAAAAAAATCATGCCAGCAAGCCTGTCAGTGACGTAAAAAGCATGGCTTTGTTTCTTTCAGATAACATTCCACGACAGCCACGCTTCTGAAGAAAGAGGCTAAGAACGGCAACACTCACGGTGCTCCCTCCTCGTATCCGCTGGGCGTATTCTCATTCGGTCGACCATACTTGTCCAGTTTGCCATCCTTGATCATCTGCTTCTTCTTCAGTGCCTGCAAGCACAGTAGATAATCAACTTTTATCACATACTCCAATACACAGCCTAACAAACACCGCTCCAGTCTACAAAAGGAATGGCATCTAAAACCTATTGCATACAAGCTACCAGACATACTGGTACAATGAAAGTTGTCTGTCCTATAACTTGGCAGTGTGAAATTATTGCAGTGGTCATCAGACGACTTCACTCCGGCACTACCAGTGCTAGATGAGTGCCCACACATCGCTATCATGAAATAAGATAGCTGAACCCCTCCAAAAAGAGAACCCCTCCAAACACTGGAAAGCAGTTCTTGAACCTCATATAAAGTGTCTTTTATAAGAGGCTGCCAATCTCATTTTCTGATGAACCGATACTTTGGCATACTGCAAAATCTCAAACAAGTGCCCCTCTTGCAGTGAAAGGTAATCAGACAAGATTCGGAGGGGTGTCCTTGCTTGATCGCGGACCAATATTCACGATGGCCGTGGAAGAGTCTTAAGAAGAATGCACACCTATGCTTCTGATGAAATGCTTTATTAAATATGCATACAGTTACTGTTTTTACGGAATCAGAGATAATCCTCGTATGAAATTTTATGTGCTATGACACAGAAAGAACAACATTCTTCAAATGTCCCAACAACTGGTGACAACTCAGAATGCAACCCTAAAGCACCACCCTTTGAAAGTACAGTAGAATTTCGATCATACGATTTTAGTTGATGTGAATTTTGCAACATTATGAATTTTAAGATTGTTCCAGATGCACTACATTAAATAAAATACACCCTAATTCAATGTTACACGAATGTTTTCCCCAGCCACCGCGGATGATACGAATGCGCGATTGACCGCTGCAGGCGAACCGCGCAACTTGGCTTGTCTGTGAGAGGAAGGCCCGCTTACACTTGGCCTCGAAGGGAGCAAATGCGGGAAAACTCACCGAATTTCCCTCTCTTTTGCCGCCTAAGTGGCCGGAAAACCACGCTGCGAGGTTGATGCGAAAAAAATCAGTTTCAGAACAATTTTTCTGCCACACGATAGCAGATCGCCTTTTCGTTTCACAGCTTTGCCTAAATCCGCTGTCTGAAACTACGTGATGTAAACAACGAGCCGCAAATTCAACTTGGCGGCAAAGGCGTCGGCAGTGGCTTGCGTTGGCGCAATCACGAACTACCCGCGCAGCACAACAAAGTTCACGGCCTTGACAGGAACGCGTTCACTGAGAGCCTGGTTTGGTTTACAATCGCTGCGAGCACCGGAAGAAGAAAGAGCAGCGAAAGTAAGTCGGCATGCCCTAACATGTCTCGTTTTTGCCCTTTTGGCAGAATTTGTCGCCGCCGCTGCATCCACTCACGTCGTTTCTTCTGCCGTATCTCCCCAATCGTTTGTAAATGTGTAAACTGTTTCTTTTGAGTGCTTTGCATGCATAACTAGCACTCGGTACAAATGCTAATGCTCAGGAAATGGGCAAAAGGGAAATCTCAAGCGGCGAAGGCCTTTATGCAAGAGGCAGAACGAATGCGAACATTATCGCCAAGTGTGGACATGGTCTTGCGGCGGCTCTGCCGTTTTCGCTAAAGTGGCGCGTTTTGCCGGTCATTTAAGTGGCGAAGCAAGTGAATTTTCAATAAGTCTCGCCGCTATCGCTTCTGCGGCACTTTATTGAGAGACAAAAGCAGGAAAGTTCACAGAACATCATGAGCTTTTTTTCAGCAAGTAGTTGACCTGAATAAAGTTCTTGTTGATCTTCATGATCAGCTTCAACTTGTTCTTGGCTCACATAATATTTAGCGTGCTCCCTTCAAATTCGTATCATAGAGATTCTACTGTACTAAGAAATCGTGCCCACTATTGAGAACTTGGGCTCATAAGAACCACTACTGCAAGATTCTGTAGCGTAAAACAGGTTGGAGAAAATGCGGCGAGGTGGATGGGGGGTGGGGGGAGAGAATGGCAAGAGTAGATGGGAGTGGGGTGGCACTTGCTTGGTCACTGGTGCATATTCCATATCTCCCAAAATGGGAAAGGGGGCGATTGTTCGCGTAATAGCTGATTTCAAATATGCAATTATCTTTCTGGTATAAGGTGGAGTATTTTAAAAAATACTAAATATTTTGTGGGCCTTTTGGGGAGGAAAATTTTTTCTAAACTGAGAAAGCTACAAAGTAAATTAGCACATCTCAGTCATTTTGACAATTACAAATTCTGATGCCCTATCACAATGTACACTTGTGTACTTGTGATCCTCACTTACTTCAGCATAAGATTGACAGGAGCTAAGTGCGAAACTAGCATGTTGTTGACACCACTGAGTTCTGACAACACTCAAGCCACATTTATTCTGCTCTCAACACACTATATTAACACTCACATTTGGTCCAAGGCCCCACTTGCGAGGATAAGTGTCACGCTCCATGACCACTCGCTTGATTTTGGCTACAATGCCGTGGTCACATGTGGCGATGGTAGATGTCGACATCAGTGCAATACCTGTGCACACAATATAGCATTCCCATATTGCATACTTCTTCTCATTCATGCCACGCAATAAAACTTTCTGTATGATTTAACTTGGCTTAGTACGAGACAGTGGCGCAAATACTATACAGTGCTTCTGTAGAGTTGACTCTCGAAAAACAAAAATGTGTAGCTGCTTGTATGATACAGCTCCTTTTTATATGACTGCTTTCGGGTTTCTTTTTGTGGCGAAGCATCAGAGGGTTTCAGCGTGTCGGCGTGCATCATCGTCTGGTGCTGCTGCTGCTGTGGAAATAGGCACCGTCGTCTGTGGACGAGAGAGCAAACGGCGCCTATGGAAACACTCCCTCACCCACCAGAGACAACGCGCTGCACAACCATTCACCGGCTACCTCGTATATACAGGCAATGGATCTTGACCTCTAATGTAGAAGCGGCGGAATATTTCTCTTGTGTGTAGGTGAACAATAACTATTCAAAGAATGCGTGTTAACTAAAAGTCCACTGCATTCTTCACGTCTCTCCACGTTTCCCGTTAGAATCGCTGAAATGAACTTCCCTACACTCTTCCCAGTATCATTGCTTCCGCTCGGCTGCTCAGTGGGCAGACTCAGCCCAGTGGCTGCACTTCATAGGTTGGCGTGGCTCACAAGGAATGGCGTGCGATGTGTCAGGTGCAGAGGGTTTTTCTGCACTTCAGTTCACCTCTGAGTAAACGGAACTCCAGTTAATAGAACATACTTTCCTGGTCCCTTTATGTTCCGTTAAACAAGTCTACTGTACTATGTACTAAACATTGAAGCTAGCAACATAGGAATGCTCTGTCCAGACATGGGACAGCCACTTGACCTTTCGGGGCAACCTTGTGGCACAGACGAAAAAAGCTGGTGAGGCTTAGCATTGAGCACACATATTTACACCATATAGCCTGTGTACTACATGAGGCAATCAACAAATACAATAAAGCGTTTGCATGCTTATCTAAGCAACAGTAGGGATAGAAACTTACAAGCTAGATTCATAAAATACATCCTTGTACACAACATCATCAGCCTATGCTATGTTCACTCCAGTGAACACAGCATTGACTCCAACAAATTCATGGTGATAAAGATTGCCTGTGATGGGGCTAGTTTGTTTGTTAGAACATTTTATTAAAGCTACACGTACATAAAGACCTTAAATGCTTGCAATTTTAACAGGGTACATGGCAACAAGAATTATTTGTCAAAATAATTATTTCTTTCTTACAATCCTGAGACCAACATTTAGGTCATGGTGAAATATTAGAAAATAAGCAGAAGAAGATGAGAAAAAAGCATTTTACTAGTGTGCTACCATCAAGGGCTATGAGCAAATTGGGTTTTAGAAAATACTGATCTGGCAGTTTTTCCTTGGAACACTGCCACCTTGCTGACATCATCGTAAAGAGGATACATCGGAGCTCAACATAGCCACAAAGATGCATTTCTCCAATAAAAAATAAACCAGCTCCCTTTTGAGTTCCGTTTTCACAGCTTTTATTTTTTTAGCAGATGCTACGACTCATCCCTGTGACATTTCACCACAGGTAAACCTGCATACAGTGAAAGCTCGTTAATTGACACCTCATTAATTCAAAATTTTGGATAATTCGAAATGGTCGCCACAAACCGGTCCGCAGTGCATAGAAGACCATGTGTAAAACGATTCGTTAATTCGAACAGAAATTGCTGCCTCTACGGATAATTCGAAGTGCGCACCGCCGAGCGTCATCATTGTCAAACACTAGTGGAAGCTTTTACGGCCGAACGATAGGTGGCACGACCGGTTTTTTCGAACTTCAAGTGGCCTTCGAGCAAAGGGCGAGCAAAGTATGGCCTCCATAATCCAGGGAGCAATTTTGTTTTCCCGTAGCCCTCCCGCCATCTCAGCGCCTGGCGCCACTTGTATACGCAGGACCTGCGGGACGCTGAGGAGTCGGCGCAGTAGTCCTAGCAGTCCTAGGCCGCACCCGGCAGCGTCACTTTGTTCCTCGAGCACGTTGTTCGTTCACGCCGTCAAGCCGTCTTATTCCGCATCGAAGTTGCAAGATGCCGCGGAGAAACTACTGCGCGAAGACTGTCAAGAAGAACGTGGAGATTTTGCGAGAGGTTGACCAAGGGAACTCGAGCAAATACGAAATTGCGAGGAAGCACGGCATACCTCCGAGCACGTTGTCAACCTACATACGCAACAGGACGGCCATTGAAAACGCCTATGAAGCCGACGATTTTGGCGCCAGTCGAAAAAGGCTAAGGACAGCGAAGTTCCCGGAACTAGAGTCAGCTTTGATTATCTGGGTTAAAGAAATGAGAGCCCAGAGTATCGCATTGAGCGGCCCTATCATCATGGCCAAGGCAGCCGATTTCGCCCTGCGCTTGTACATTGAAGACTTTGTCGCCTCCGAGGGATGGTTTCATCGTTTCAGGGAGCGGCACAATCTCGTATTCCGCACGTTATCCAGTGAGGCAAAGGAAGTGTACGCCGAAACATGCGCTACTTGGAGAAGCGACACCCTGCAGCAGTACTTGGAGAGCTACTCACCACAGGATGTGTTTAACGCTGACGAGACAGCGTTATTTGTCAAGTTGCAGCGAGACAAGACGATCACCTACAAGGGAGACAGCTGTGCCGGCGGCAAGCGCAGCAAAGAGCATGTCACTGTTCTGGTCGCCGCAAATATGACCAGTACGGAAAAGGTCCCCCTTTATGTGATTGGCAAAGCACCCAAGCCACGGTGCTTCAAAAACATTCGGTCACTGCCGACGGAGTACACCGCAAACAAGAAATCCTGGATGACAGGTGACCTATTCAGGAAGTGGCTACTGAAATTCGACAGGCGAATGGAACTGGGCAGCAGACGCGTTCTTCTTGTCGTCGACAACTGTTCGGCGTACAAAGTCGACGTTGAGCTGAGAGCAACAAAGTTAGTGTTCCTTCCAGCAAATACAACTGCGGCCCTACAGCCAATGGATCAGGGTGTGATAAGGAACATCAAGTGCTTTTATAGGCGTCACGTGCTGGAGAGAATGATTTTGTGCGCGGGCGACAGGAAGGACTTCGGCATTACGCTGCTCACTGCCATGCACATGTTGGTGCGCGCATGGGAACAGGTGACCGCGACCACAATCGCAAACTGTTTCCGCCACAGTGGATTTACAGCTGGAAGTGCGCAGGATAGTTGTGACGTCAATGGGGCTGAGAATGGGGCTGAGGAGCTCATGCCAGTGGCATTGCGCGACACTCTTCGGGGCGTACGTTTTGCGATTGTGTTGAAGTTGACACCGGTGCATCGGTGTGTGGTGCCCTGACTGATGAGGACATTATCGCTCAAGTAGCCGGTGCGCAGCCTGTTGCTGAAGAGCCAGAAGGTGAGGAAGACGAAATTGACGAAGCGCCTGTGCGCCCGTCAGCTTCTGCGGTGATGGAGGCACTTAATGTGGCGCGTCTCTTCTTCAGCTTTGAAGAGGGTGAGGAGGATTCCCTGCGTCGCGTCCGCGCGCTAGAACAGAGAGCCGCAGCTGTGGCATTCAGAGAAAAGAAGCAGATGGTCATCACCGACTTTTTTGGCCAATAAATATTTTTCGTGCCCCCACCCCCGAAATCCACCCATTTTTGCTCACTTTCATTATTTCGAATTTTGTTTAATTCGAAATCGCTCAGCGTTCCCGTGGAATTCGAATCAACGAGCTTTTACTGTATAACCATTCTGTTTCAGCACTTAGATAACGAGACATTGGTCAGTGCCATAAAGCTGTCCATATTTGTTTCTATGTCATAAGAGACTTTTAGCATGGTGTTTTTGTAAAAAGTGCTAATATCGCATTATGTACTGAACATTTAGAAAATTTTTTGTGTGCTCATTTCAAACTAAAAAAACAAAGCAATAGCATTATGTACAGAATAGGTCCTTGTGAATATCCTTCCATGAAAACCTTGACGAACTTATGCCTGATTTATCAATCAATTTTGGTATGACAGTAAGAGTCTTGTAAGCACTGCAGTGGTGGGAATGCCTTCCAGGATTTTGGAGCAGCCGTTGGAGCAGGCAAAATACTTTTGGAGCAGCTACCTCTGTGTTTGGAGCACGCGTGGGCTTTCCATGACACAGGCAGAGGAAGAAAATTTTGCTTTAATTCAGTTTAATATAGCTCAGTGCTGGAGAATTAGACGCGTTATTCCAAGGTTGCAGGTTTGAATCCTGCAGGTGACAAGTCATCTTTTCATCCACCTTTCTTTCTCCATATTTGCATTACATTCACTAATCACGTGATGACATTATCGGTGGCAAGTCTTCTACGCCTCTGCGCATGCGTGAAAGCTTACATGTTTTTCAGCCCGCACTGGCAATAAACAGTTGGTAGTCTGGTGCCTATCTGTAGCACCATGCCAGTTTTGACCACCTGGCCGCACAGAAAAAGAAGTGAGCCACGTGGCACGTGAGGTGCGAGCCGCGCGCAGGAGAGAACGTTCGGGTTCTTGACTTGGCTGGACGCTGTAGGCGATACCGCTTCGCTACGTTTTCCCTAAATAAAAGCTGCGACCATGGCATGGCATGGCCTCATAACCGCCGTCTCCCATTTCTCAACATTTAGTGACCACGGACCAATGGACAAGCGATCAGCGCCGCACCGTTGCCCCTAAGGTCGGCGGCCATGTCTCAAGCCCTGCAGCCCTATTTAGACCCACCACTGCCACTGTTACGTACATCTAGCCTGAAGTTATAATCTTCCACGGGACCTGAAACGCCACCTCACAAACTTCTCGTGGAGCCCTCGCCCTAACAACTACTTGCGCGTCGCCTTGCTCCAGTATTACGGCATCTAACGTTGCTTCCCCAAAAGCGACACCGCGATGCCTGGCCCATCGTCATGTACGCCTCCCGCACCACGACACGAGAAAGAACCAGTCCCAGGACACAGAGTCGTCTGTCTCCTCAGAGAGAGTCCACTTCGGTTTATGAATCGCGTGGCCCACCCGTTGCTCGCACA